GATGAAGAAACTTTTATTACATACAGTCATTCCAGCCCTTTCTCCGATGCCTCCCCTCAAACGTTTGTCATCTGTTCTTGTTTGGAAACTGTTTTCCAACAGCCGAAGGAGTAAGAGGGCTCCATCACCTGTTTCAATTCAATTCCCTGAAAGAGACAACAGCTATACTTCTACTATACAGGTGCTATTATTAAGATGGATTTTAACAATCTTGCATTTGTTCACTTATTAATCGCCCACATTTACCCAAAATACACTGAGAAGAACGGCGTTAGCTTTGCAGCCCATCATTTGGCAGGCAGACAAAAAAGATACATTCAATTACTATTTATTAAAAAATCGCATGTATTGGTACATATAACAGAATTCAAGGCTTTCAGTAGGCTATAATTGAATCCTTTTGTATTAAATAAGTCATAGCTATATCTATTGTTCTAGCAGCTGATAAAAAATGATTCAGAAATTATATTCAAGCTTTTCTGCATAATTATTAAAGTATAATGGCACTTAACATCTGCATTTCTGTTACAGTCAGCATTACTAAGCTTAGCTAATTCAAAAAATATCACCAGATACTGTGTCTACAGTGAAAAAAAAACGCAAAATCTATACACACATATTTGCTTCAATAAAATATGCAGAGACATACAGCGGGATCTTTGCTTGGCAGATGCCTGCACAGCTCCAAAAGTCAGTGGAATAACGCCAATTTACATCGCCGATTCACGACGCTGAATGCTCACGGGCTTCTGCCCAGTGTGACAAGGTTCCGGAGCTTTGCCAGACGAGGGTGGATGGGGAAGCTGAAGCCGGCAGAAGGCCAGCCCGGCATTCCCGGTGCCAGCCCTTCCTCTGTTATTTCAGGTGAGGGCACGCCATTAGCAGCCATCTCCAGCTGAAGGATCAGTGGAGCATAAAGTTTACATAATATCTCAGCTGGACTTCTCTTTCTACTTGTCTGCATGGTCCGGTTTCTGTTCTTTTACTCGATTGACTGTCTGGGGTTTTGTGGTTGGGCATTTTTTAAGTTGGAGAATGCCATTTTGTATTTCCAGTATGTTCTAGGATAGTTTGGAACAGTCTGGCACAAACTTTGCACCGTTAAAGACAAGGAAGTTTGTCACTGAGTATAAATTAAATGGATTAAGATTTTGTCTCTTGTTCTGGAAAAGTGGCCTGTTTACCTCTGTATTCCGCACACAAGGGCACTGTAGTCTTTTCATATAAAAGCATCAGATAGAGAGACACTTTTTAAAAACAGGTGAGTTCATTGATTTAAAAATAAGCATGTTTCTGAATTCTAAAAATTGTATATAGGATAGCCAATTACCACCTAACTCAGATATTTTAAAGATATTTCCTGTCTGGTATCAGACTTTTTGTATCTTAATTTTTTACCAGACAGCAAAGTTCGTCACTGGAAGTACTATTTGCTGTATAAACAATGATGACGTAATTTAATGGAATCTTTCCTTGAGATTGATTCCTGCAGATTTTAGTACAATCTGAGTTTCCAGGCATCCCAATATTTAGTATAAGGCAGAACAAAAATACTTAGGTATCTCAAGGAATAGTCATAGGATCATAGAATCATAGAATGGTTTAAGTTGGAAAGGACCTTGAAGATCATGGAGTTCAAACCTCCCTGCCACGGGCAGGGACACCTCCCACTAGACCAGGTTGCCCAAGGCCACGTCCAGCCTGGCCTTGAACACCTCCAGGGATGGGGCCTCAACAACTTCCCTGGACAACCTGTGCCAGTGCCTTACCACCCTCAAAGTGAAAAACTTCTTCCTAATGTTTAGTCTAAACCTGCCCTCTTCCAGTTTATAGCCATTCCCCCTCATCCTCTCACTACACCTAGTAAAGTCCTTCCCCAGCTCTCCTGTAGGCCCCCTTTAGGTACTGGAAGGCTGCAATAAGATCTCCCCGGAGCCTTCTCTTCTCCAGGCTGAACAGCCCAAACTCTCTCAGCCTCTCCTCATAAAAGAGGTGCTCCAGCCCTTGGATCATTCTCGTGGCTCTCCTCTAGACACGCTCCAGCAGGTCCAACAGTGTATTCTTTAGTTTCAGAATTAGCTACGTGAACTTTCATTATGAGTATCCTTTGGTGGAGTGACATCATCTCCATACATGACTTCACAACCTTTACTGATGACAACCTTTCAGAATGATTAAGGTGATTTTCATGTCTCCATGTTGGACACTAATAACAAAGAATCAGAGTTATGAGGCACCTTTATCCTAGATATTTAAGGCCTTGACCCCACAAACTCTGATCAGTCTGTGGTGTGGAAGCTGGTGGTGGACACACATCTATGGCTGTCATCCTTGAGCTCATCTGCAAAGTTCTATGGTTAGTGGATTTTGTAAGGTGGCTGACACCCAGTATCACCATGCTCTGAGCACTGGGAGTGCCCGGTTGTGGTAGGACAGAAATAGTACACATATTTCCAAGCCCTGGCCATCAGAGGTGCCCCACAATTATTATAAAGGCAATGTTTTCGCTGTATTCCCACATTTTATTAATGACTGCAGGCCAATGCAGGAGCAGGATATGGGAAAATGGCTCTGTGGGGTAAAGATATCTTTTCCCTCTAGAGGTATAGGGCAGGGAATGACACAGACAGAGGCCTTCCCAAAGAGATCAGAGAATGTATTGTAAACACAAAGATATCACTCCCAAATTGTACGAAAACCTCCTACTCTAAACATCAGCCATTACAAATACATGATAGAGAAGCTATGGGTAAGACGTTGTCCCTGAAAGCCAGTTCATGTTGGGCAGCACTCAAGAAACTGCCTGGCTGTGAGGACAAAACTCCAGGGGGGACATTCAGACACCTATAGAAGAGCTCTCCTTGGTCTGCGCCAGGTACACAATAAAGAATGCTTACCTAAGGGACTGTCATCAGTTGCTACTTGCTGGGATACAGAGAAACTTAAGCTGATACTTCTTATAGAGCACTGAGAAATCAGTATCCCTTTACTGTCTGCTCACAATTGATAAAATCGCAAGACCTTACACCTACAAGGGCCAAAATGAAGTAGGAGGAAGGCAAAGTAGTGATGCTCAGTTGCCGTTTAGGGGTAGCTACCAACCACAAGTCCACAAGCTCCTCCACAGTCACCCTCATCTATAATGTCAAGTTGTCCTGTCTGGGACAGAGATGTCTGCTGAGGATGGAGAAGGTGCTACAAAGTCTAGTCCACCCCATCTCTGTTCAACTGCCTGACTGGACTCCTCAGGCTCATTTGCACATTCTCAGGGGAGCTGAGTTACAGCCCTGCCTTAGGAGACACTTCTGAATTGTTACTGAATTTGTTTTCTAGTTGTCCATTTACATAGCCTTTTTAAACTTTTACACAGATTAGGTCTACTGATAAAGGAAGGATAATTTCTTGTCTTGTGACAAGAAATATGCTTTCCTTTAGCATGAACTGTCTTTGCTTGCATCGTCAAATTTTTAATGGAAGTGAGTTTTACTGTTTAAAATTATTTTTTAGATTAGATGCATAGCATTTACTACACCTTTCGGACAGCCTGTGGTCCACAGATAAGTTTAGAAACCCTTGTTTTAGAACCAGCGGTTTCGAGAAACAAATGTTCATCTGACATTTTTGCTATTTCATATGAGAATAAGAGAAATTATAAAACAAATCATAAACAGGTTTTTTAGATTTTGTCATCTCATTGATTTCTCTCAACATTGTGTACTGAATTTCCTGTTCTTGTTTAGGCCCCTATAGATAAGCATACTGATACACTTACTTTTACATATGACGTTTTCTGAAGGCTGCTGCTAAACAGATTAAACTACGTACTGACTTAATCTTTGCACTGTTGCTATAGATTCTATACAATAATTCATCCGTAGATGTATTTCCCTATCAATTCAGTTTGCTCAGCTTTCCTTGCGTCAGCTGCAACCAAGTATTATTATTTGTACTGGGGTTTATCATCATCCCATCACTGTTCTGTAACGTTTGTTATACTGAAATTCTCATCCACTGCAATGCACAAGATGCTCTTTCTAAAAAATCTTGTGCAATCACATAGAAGGTTTAAAGCTTTTTTCTTCACATCTGTCATTGGGTTACTCTTGTCCTGATACTTCAGTGATTTTTTTTTTTTTTTCAGACTTCACCCATGTTTGTTTCTTGCTGTGCTCTTATTCAGTTGAAACTGTCACTATTCTTTATTAGATAAGAAAGTATCAGTGTATCAACATTAACAGTCATTAACAGTCATTAACAGAAGTCCCTAACCAGTACCTGTACGCTTCAGATCAGTCCCAGTTTCCCCATTTTTTGAGATATATACTCTCCAGAATTTATGTACTGGTATTTTACCTCCATGTTGCATGCCATGGAATCAGTACCCTGAGAATAAGACATTCTCTCTGTAGCATTTATACTTCTCCCCCTTCCCAACTCTGCACTGAAATCCAAGAGTTTTCTTTGTCTAATGGGGCCACAGCATGGAACTGAAAGTCCATCAGAGGAAACAACCTCTGAAGCCTAAAACATAATCTGCCTATTTAGTAATCTCAGTTTACCTTCCTGAAATTCTCTTCTACACCACTCTAAACACTTGTAACAAATCCCTTTAAAAATACTAATTGAGCTTTTAAAAGTATATAGACACACAGAAGATTCTAAGAATGCTTGAGTATGGCCGAAAATTTCAACCGTATATTTTAATAGATGAAAAATACATGTCAGATTTTATTAATATTACATAAACTTTAAAAGGGCCTCATCTTTCCATTAAAACTTCTACTAGTAAACATTCATTATAAATCCCTTTGCTATCAAATATTCACAGAAGTATTCCTAAATAAATCACTAGCAAATACTGCAATATTAATATCTAAAAAAACCCATAGACCACAAAGATCAAACTATCAACCAAAAAAAAAAACTCAACATAAAAACATTTCAACAGTTTTCAAGCAAAGTTTTCAACCATTTCAAGACTGGTTAAAGAGTCCTGTAAGTCATTTCAGATAAGGATGAAGCTGTTTGGGACGAGCTTTTCTTGACAGCCCAATCCTGATGGGGCCCTTGCACGTTTTAAGAGGCTGTACTCTTATAACTTCATGTGACAGAAAGTATCCTATATTTAAAAAAAAAGAAATAAAAAGTGAAAGTAAACCCAGAATTCCATATTACACTAGAATTACATACTGCCAAGATACATAAATCAGATGAACGTTAATTGCAGCTTCTCAAGTCCTTTACTACATCCTGTCCCATCTCCATTTTGTTCAGCTGTAGAGTGTCTAACATAACTCTTTTTGGTTGAAATTGAAATGCTGACAGCTGGGTCACATGTAGATTCCTTCTAATTAGAAGGATCCTCAAACTAACATTGCATAACTTTCCTAACAGCCTGGCAAAGGCATACAGTTTGATACAGATTAACATTCCAGGACAGAGGGGACATGCTGAGGGGAGTATGCTTAAATACTTACCACCACTCTGAGGGGTTTAGGTATATAAATCCAAATTGCAGAGCTGGGTATCACTCTATTGGTGATGATAATCATGGTGCCTCTGTCTTGTGCCACTCATTTTACAGAAAGAAGGACAGGAGGATGTGGATTTTCTGTTTCATAGTCTATTAGGTAAGGTGCACGCCATCTAGTAATCTGGAGCACGATTCAGCCATCCTTTAGAAACTGTTGTGCTTTGCATAAAATAATATACTTACCGGGGAAGAATGGAAGACTATGACCTTGTAAACTAGAGATTATGACAATGAGTCATCTGGAAGAAGTAATAACCACACAAGAAGGTGTCAAATTTCTCAAGACTTTTTCCAGTTCTATTTTCTGTTATTATATAAAATGATGAAACACTAAGCAATTAGCTAGGATATCAAATAGCGAGCCCATCAGAGCCTTAGGCACTCAGCTGGAATCCTGCTAAAGGGAGAAAAAAACTTTCTTGAAGCCTTTCACAGGAATTTTAAATGATGAGAGGAGGAAAAAAAACAAAACTCCATTCTTAAATCAATGATGAGACAGTAGTGCTGCTGTCTTTTATAAGACTCATAAGAGTCAGTTGAAAGAGGAAGTGCATGCACTAAAAGTCAATCAAGTGTTATGGTTTTATACGTATCCAGTAAATCATGGTATGTAGTGATGCTGAATTGTAAAACTGCTGAAGTATAAATCTTCTTGTCCCACCTAGGTATCTCCTTTCCGAAAGTCACAGTTTCTGAGGCAACAGTAACTTCATGTGACCAAACAGTGGGATGTAAAACAAAGAACTCATTGATACCAGCAAGTATAAAACCTGCACCTCCAAATCTTCTAACTATGGGAGCAATATCCTGGATTAAGCCACAGAGTTTTGGCAGCTAAACTGGCTGAACTACCGGGCTTAGATTCCATGGCAGAAACGGAGTGATCATACCCAAGATACAGAACCAACCTAAATCATGTAAGAGCATGTGATGGCACAGAATCCTACTGAAAAATAGAGGGAGGCAGTCATACATCAGGAAAACTTCTAACATTAATTCCTATCAGTACAGTAAATATAGTAATCCCCCCCCCAAAAAAAAACCCAGATATAGTCCTTGCTTCAGAATAATCTCTAAGGCAATGTTCAGTGTAAATGGAAGAGAACTGTATTTGCCAACCACAGATTACAGCACAGAAGCAATGTACCTCCTCAAGGAAAGAAGGTACTCAGCAGTTCCATATTTACTATCAACTGAGAATGATGATGAGGGGAACATTACATTTTTTCAGCTTCTACTGGAAGTATATTAGGTGTCTGTTGATTCTGACAAAGCTCGGGAAATAAGGTGTAGAATACCTTAGAAATCTGACATTGCCCCAGAAATCTGCACGATTTCTCAGCAATCGTGGGGAAAAACAAAGTCACTCATTGCTAAGGTTTCCTTCCAAACATTTCTGGAGAAGCTCAGACAGTAACTTAAAAAAGACTAGGAAGCAATGTAAAGGGAACAGTTACTGCTAATGGCAATGGAGAAAATGTCTGTTTTTCATTGCACTTGTCCCTGTGGCCCAGAACAACAGGAAAAGAAAAAAGGGAAAATGATCCAGGTTGAGTCATCTTCTGATCTTCTGCAGGAGCTACGTTTCATCTAGCAAGCCTCAACGCCATCTGAACAAAACTTCCAAGAAGATGTTAATAACCACCTTGTGCTGTTATGGACAATATAGCATTCTGGAGTATGAGTTTTCCCTAAGAAATAACACCACCTACAACAAAGGACAGAAACTAGAATCCACCTGCCACAAAACCAAAGAAACAAATCGCCTTAGAGAGCAGTGATAAACAGTAAAAAAAAAAGTAAAGCAGTATTCTCTGTAATGTTTTGCATTCGGTATATGAAATATTATCAAAAAATGACATATCTTCAATAAAAAACAGGTGAAAAGAACACCAGAGGTCACCTGTAAATAAGGTTTTCAGTCTCATTATTTCACAGAATGGCCTGAGTGAAGGAAACAACTTTCTGAATTCTGAGAACAGCAAAGTGTGCATCACTTTTAAGAGGTACAATAGGGAAAGTATCTGTACATGATTTGATTTAGTGAAACAGAAGTTATCTATAGCCTTTTCCTTGAAATGTTTTTGTATTTCATTTCAGAATAAACCAATAGCCGTGTTTCACTAAATGCTTCCAAGTGTCAAAAAAAAAAAAAAGGCAAAAGCACTTTTTTTAAATCCTAACAGATCAATTGGCAATATCCTTCTGAATTTCCTTCTGCAATGTGTCCAAAGCTACAACTCTTCCAGGAAAAGCATATCAAATCATGTTCTCCTTGTAGTATATGATTGGAACCCAAGGATGTTTGTTCCACATGACTCCAACACAAGCAAAAAAGGAAGCCCCACATTGTTAGAGTTCTTCTCTTCTATCCAAAGAACAGGTTTATCTACATGACTTGCTCTGTGACCCAAGCTTTCTAGTAACCTACAGTTAAACAAAATGTGATTGCTATAGAAAGAAAGCTAAAAAGGGAAGAAACAAATACAAGTGTTTGAGAAATAAGTTTATTAGCACTGGTATTTGTGGTATAAATAACAGAATAACATTACTCTTACCTCCCTCTTTGTGTAAATTATAATTTTGTTCCTTAAGAAGTCTGCAGGATAAAAAAGCAGGGTCCCACGTGTATGGCTTTTTATAAGCTGCATCAAAATTGCCTTAAAACAGAAGCATAAATACAACATTTATGATTTTAACTGATTTCTATAAACAAATAACTAAGTTTGTCTCATCTAGTTACTAATTTGTGGTTCTTGTTGATATGAGTAAAACATGTATTTGCATATTATGGGTACTACTAATGAAGCTATGAAGTCTGACACTCAGAGGCTTGTCAAAAGCTATCTATACGCCTCGTGAAGTCTTCCTTGGCGTAGATGCAATGATGCAGTATTTAATCCTCTGACGACATCCCATTTTCTCCACTCAGATCTTCTTATCCCAGGCTTAGGCAGAAAAATGATCACCTAGTGAGCAATGTATCCAGTATCTGTTAGGTTTTCATTCTCTGGGGCAAGGCATTCAGGTGTAACTTGCAGCACATTATACTGTTAAAACTCTACTGAACAGAATTCCCTCCAGGGTTTTTCTGTGACACTTTTCTAATTGCTTCACAAACACTAATTACCTTCACAAAACCCCTGCAATCTTCACTGTATAAATTTAGAGCTGAGCCCCTGAGAAATTGATTTCAGATGCCAAATTTGAGATGGCTGCATTTTTATCAGAGAATTTACCACTTATGATCAAAGTATATCTCTTATTGATTTTATTTGCAGCTGTGAGACCTCATCACTTCTACAAACTGAATTTCAGGTACAAAACCTGACAAACACACTGTTTGAAAAGTGGCTGAATAATTTACTTATCACATAGGAGCTATTTGTAAAAGAAGGTACAACGTGCAACTGGTTTTCTTCTTGGTGTCCTTCCCTGACTCATTAAATACATCTTGATTCTGTGGCAAATGGAGTAGGAGGGTTACAGTTTACAAAGCAAATTTCCCACATATTGTTTGAAGTGGGGATTCAGTTCCTTCTAGAAAAAATAATATTAAAAAAGGCAGCATCTAAACTTTAAACAAATACAACTTTATCAGTGCCTAAATTTTGTGAGTGCCTGGCCTGGAAGCCAGAACCATAAGTGAGGTACATAAGCTCTCTTTACAGCAGATGGAAAAAGTTAGGTCCTTCAAAATAGGATGGTATACAAGCAATGAACTAGGCAAGACCTGCCTAGGGCAATGCCATAAAACAGATTAAGGGCAGAATATGTTTAGAAACGCACTGCTGCTTTCTAAGCTTAAGATCCTTCATGCAGCAAACTACCTTCACCTGTTTGGCATTTATGGCCCATAATTAACTACTGAGGACAGAGAACTAGCACACGCTTTAAATATGCAAGTATCACACATGACGAGAGGTGCCTACCACTCATGAACATATTCATATGTATCTTTATTCATCTATGTCATGAACTTGTGTTAAACTGCCTATTTTCCCAAACTAATGTTCTTTAAATAGTAGATATCAGTATCCATGTCAGATGCAAAAACATGTAAATGTTGCAGGACTAGCTGTTGCGTTCACTTACAGGTCTGAAACAAACCAGAGAGATTTAACAGATGACTGTTGCCACTGATCACCCAATTCCAAAAGAATTTTTTTAGACTATTGGATCCCTTATTAATACGGCCTTCTGAATGTTATGTAAAATACATTTTGAAAAGATGAAGTTGATTTTCATGACATTACAAAAGTTTTCAGTAGCACACGTTCCTGGAAACATTAAGGTCAGGTTGGACACGGCTCTGAGCAACCTGATCTAATTGAAGACGTCCCTGCTCACTGCAGGGGAATTGGAGTAGATGACCTTTAAAGGTCCCTTCCAACCCAAACTATTCTGTGATTCTGTGACATCAGTTGTAAGGAAACAGTTGTCTCCTTTGGGAATATTGTATCATGTTTTAATTGAGCTTTTTCTCTCTGTAAATTTGCATTTATTGAGTCTTCTTTTAGGGATTTTAGGGCTTATTATGATGAAATCCAAGAAAAAATAAATAATCTCTAATTAAATTTGCATTAAGACAAGTTTGAGCAAGCCTGGCACTGACTGACTGAATTTTGAGCTACAACTGCTATGGCACAGTGTGCAGGTAGCAGTAGGTTTTTTGCATTTGGCTACTCATAGGCAAGTACCTTTTGTCCAACAAACCTTGTAAAATTCAATGAAAACTCAGTTATCGTTATGGAAATATTTGAGTTGAGAAGCACACCTTGAAAGCAAACCAAATATTGCCAAAAATTTAAATTTGCTTATTAATGTAACAGCCAATAGCTTACCTTCTGTGATAGGTGAATGCAGCAATTCTTCACTTGACAGTCTTGAAATACAGTATTCCTTAGATACTTTTTGGTCTTTATTTTCATTTGTTATGTTTTCATTTAATGAACTTTCATTACTGTCAGTTATGTTTTGCCCTTCTATAGCACCACAGATTGGGGAAGAAACACATATTTTCTTTTGAGAAACACTTGTCACATTTTCATCTGTCCCCTTAGAATTATTTAATTCACAATAATTGTTTTGTAAGTTTGTTTCCAAACTAGATAAATTGTTTTCATTTCCCTTGCTAATTTCATGAAACATACGTAGCTCTTCTAGCACTAAATCAAATTTTCTCTTCAGTTCAAATTCATATGTGATTTTATTTCCTAAAGGTAAATACTTATCTTTTACATCTTCAAGACATCCATTGTTCATTACAGATAAATGCATTTTTAATTTCTCTTCTGCAGCAATGAATGTTTTAGATTCATCTTCTGAATATGACATAATCAAGTCATTCATTACAGTCTCACATTGACTTTCATTAGTTTCATGCATTTGTTCATCACTTATCTCTTCCTGTTCTTTTACATACTCAAGATGTTGTTTCAAAGTTGCTGGCTCTAAACTGACTGCCTTATTTGTCTGTGTATGCCCTTGTAAAGAAAACTGCACTGTTTCTTTAGCCTGTAATTGCAAGCATGTATGTGTCATGGCAGGACTGCCTGTGGACAGATATTGTGTAGTGGCATGAATTTTTTCACTCTGTTTTTGTTTGTCTGCACTTGAGGGACTCCTGCAGTGTCCATCTTCACTTACTACTCCATCTTTATTGACAAAAGAGCAGCTATCTAATGGCAAAGTGACAGGCTGATAAACATTTGAGGAACTAGGAAATATATTTCTGAAGTTTAAACAAGTATTTTGATCTTCCATTTTTTCATTTGCTAAATGTGGGCTATGTATATCGACTTTTTCACAATATTCAGGTTGGTTTCTTTGGCTATGTTGTAACAAGAGAGAATTACATTTTTCCATAGTTGTTTTTGACTGCTCAGGTAGAATTAAGACATCACTGGATTTAGCAGGCAAATTATGAACCTCTTTTGAACTAGTGACTGCATTCTCTTCAGACAACTTTTTTTTTTCAGAATTGCCTTGGTTTACAATTGGGATCTGGTCAAAGTCTTCAGAATCAGTGGTAAGGGGAATTTTTTCATATGTGTCAAAAAGAGAAAATGATTTTTTAGAAAGAAAATTATCAGAATTTATTTGCAACTCTTTTGACTTAACACATTCTTTTCTATCAGCATCTATATAACTAGAGTTACCCAAATATTTTTTCATGGTATATGTGACTTCATTTGTGACTTCATCTGTAGAATTTGTGCTATTTCTACATCCAGTAGTTTCATCCTTTTTATTTTCACATAAAACAAAAGGGAAAGCTTTAAATCTTTCTCCATGAAAAAAACTATTAAACATTTTACTTGGTTTCTTCTTTTCCTTCTTTACTGTAGTTACCGATATTTCCCAATTTGTACATTTACTATTTACCTTTTCAAATTTCAGTTGTGAATGAGCAGGAAAGTAACTCCAAAATCTAAGATTTGCTCCTGTCAGATAGCGTATTTTTGTTATATTGCAGCAATACATCTTCTCTAGGCAAGAACAATCAAAAGTGCCCTGCAGCAAGATTAGGCATTTAGCAACTGAAATTTGCCTTTTCAAACCTTTTTTGTGACTGACTGACCTCAAATAGGTGCTAAACCCTTCGCTCCTTCTGGATAAGAGGTGGTGCTTTCTGACATGTCTTCCCTTACATAGTCCACTTTTTTGGCTGGGAAAGAGGGCTCCTCTTTTTAGGAAAGTGGACTCTTCCTCACCTAAAGATCTAGAAAAATGTCTTCTCTGGCATTCGTTACGTAACTCCAAACCAATGCTTTCCACAAATTTAGAACTTACAAAGCCGGGATAAGTTTCGGGTTCTTTATGAAATCCTGTGTTTTGCCTCAAAGTATTACCTGGGGAAGAGTTTAACTGAACTTGCTTTCTGCCACATAAAGGATGATTCTCCATGCTCATAGACTTTCCTTCAGCTGGCAATAAAGTATTCCTACTATTGAAAAAGGAAGCAAGAATTGTCTTTAGTGGTTCCACCTTCAGAGGCTTTGAAGTAATAGTCAGCAAGTAAATGTGTATTTTAGTGTTGTGGCTCCTTTTTATATTGCTCTTTACTAAGTCTTGAACATCACACTGCTCATTTAATGTTTCATGAAAATGAAACCAATGTGTAATACCATCATCCTGACACGTGGGCGTATCTTTATATAAAGATTCAGTCCATGTCCTGACCCTTCCAAACAACATGTTTTGAAATGAAAACTTTAATTTGAACATTTCCTTTCCCCTAAATATATTGCAACTCACCTTCTTATCTGGAAAATTCTGCACAATAACACAAGGCAGATTACTTTTAAATATCATGTTTTCAGTAAAATATCTTTTAAAATCAAGTATTTCTTTTGCAGAGACTTTTGATACTGCTTCATACAAACTAGTATCACTGTTGGCATTATGTACACCACAGTGTATGTCTAACTTATTTTTCACTAATGCCTCTGTTATTACTGGAAAACTTGTCTGTATATGAAAGGTTGTCGCATTCTCATTACTGCTCTTCCTCCCCATTCTCTTCAGATCATTACAGCTGACATATTTCTTATTCTGAAAATGTTTAGCACTAATGTAAATGTGAATCCTTGACTTCTCATCATCATCACCATCTGAATTCTTCAGCATTTTACCTTTGAAATAATTTTCAGCAAATATTTGATTACACGCAACGGCAGTGCTGTTGTGTCTGAAATACGTTACAGATACTTTTCCTCTTTCTGCCAAAGCACTGTGCTCTTGTTTGCTAATTGATGGGCAATTCTCTTCTTTAAGTTCAGAACCAATAGTTGAAGTGTTTATACTGTTTTTATCATTTTGCGATCTTCGTCTCCCTATCTCAGACATTTTTTGCACACCATACATCTGTTTAGACTGCATCAAAGACGGCTGATCTCTAAAATTCTTCCAATCTGACTCCTTCAAGTTAGTTGATGATATTTTACTATTTATTTTATTTGAAATGCTAGGAAGTTGAAAATTAGGAATTTCCAGTGGTTGTATACTTTTAAAAGGTTTTAATGCTGGAATTATATATGATGAATTATTTTTATCTTTATTATCTCTTCCTGCAGTAGTTTCATTATCACTACTGAAATAATCTTTATCTTCTGTAGAACGTACTTTTTTCATAAAATTATTTTTCTCATGTTCTAGATGTGAAAACACAGAACTCGTACCACATAAAAATGGAATTTGCAAAAGCTGGTATTGTTTCCACTTTTTATCAGAGACAGACTTATGACTTAACAATTCCATCTGAAACAAGTCTCTGTTCCAGGGAGTAACTGAAGAATTTTGTTTGAGCTCATTACCACTATTTCGTTTAGTATTTTGTTCTATATTGTTGTTCTGCTGTGCTTGGGGTGGATTTAGTACCTGTAGATTTTTGCACATGTTATCAGCACCCCACATACTGGGCGACTGTGTTTCAAGAGCCTGTTCATGTACATTCAATGAATTGTCATTTTCTACAGTATTTTGGTCTTCATTTTCAGTACTCCATTTTTTGGTGGACAGTTTACTTTCTGATACTCTATATGGTAATCTTTCGTTACTACAAGTTTGAAAATGGAAAAACTCTCTCATACACAGTTTTCTTGCTGGGTCACAACTTTGCTTTTCTAATGCCCAGCTGGTTTGTCTTTCTGATAAATATACAGGTTCATGTGGTGATGTTTGATATCCGTTCACACAGTGTATGCTTTCTTCTAGCTTTTGCTGCTCCTCTTTCTCTGTGCTTTTTTGATTACTTTCTATTTTCATTCGCTTTGGATATAGGTAGCATTCAGTTTCATCTGACAATGTGGATAAAAATCTTTCAGAACATGTACTTTCCATGCTCACAAAAATAAGTTCTATACTTGCTGAGACTGACCTGAAAGTTAAAAGAAATATTAAAGTATTAGGCATAAACAATCATTTAATGGTTTCCAAAACGTATATGACATAAAATCAGTAATTCTGTCACGCTCACATCACCGCATTGATATTTGCTCTGTATACATTACAGGCCTGAGAGAAAGGCAGGATCACTGAACAACATTTAAAAACAAGATCTAGACTTTAAATAGAAGTTATTTACTAAGGTTGTAGATGTATGCAAAATTAAAATGAGTGATAATTTCACTGTGTCAAGAAGTTAAAGAGAATAATTGCATTTTCATACATTGGTCACACTTTATTTTTGCCGAAAACGAACAATGAGAACAAATATAAATAAAATAATGCCCACTGATGAACTCTTTGAAATCTGGGGAGTGGACCCTTTAAAATTATTAAATTCTGAAAGAAATTGCCAGTTTTGTCTTCACTGTGTGATAATTTGTAATGTGCAACTGTAGGCAAGTTTATCAAAAGTCCTCAGGTATGACAAGACACTGTATCAGATTGTATGTTCATATACAAAGAAACAGTGGTGTCAGGCACAAATCTCAATTGTTAAATGTACCATAATGTTCAAGTCCATGTTTCAAGTTAAATGCACTCAGCAGCTTCATTTAAGAAGTGATCTACCCAGTGTGCGGAACACAATTTGAGCAAAATGAAATTTCATATACTGATTGAGGGAATGTATTATATTTGAATAGATTGGGTCACCAGTATCTCTGAACAATCCAGCCACTGTGCAGAGCTGACCTCAGAGAGCCAACAGGAAGGTGTTCAAAACATTTCATGAAGTATATAATCAACAGGATTATTTTTTTTTAACCAGGACTGCACAATTCAAGGCTCAAGAAGCATTCCTAATTTGACAGGTTTACTTCTTTTACGGCACAGGTAAATCCCTTTTGGCAAGTAACACTTCTGCAACCGCGGGGTATACCTGTGAAATGCAAGAGAGAGAAGGAATCCTCAAGCTTGTGGGTCTTTTGCCTCCCTGAGCAAGGCTGTGCTCTCCCCTTGCTGTAGGTGACAGGTCCCCTCTGTCCTGTCCCTGAGGCGGTTTCCCTCTCTTGTGAAACAGCCACCCTCCTCTCTCCTCTTCTAATCAAGTTTTACCGTGAGGGAAGCTGGTTTTTTTTTTTTTTTGTTTGTTGTTTTTTTTTAAAAAAAACCTCTTCCCCAGTGATGGCTTTTCCCCTCCCTGCAGCAGGGTCGCTTCTCCCTCAGAGCCCCGATCCCGCCCTGAGGCGCTTCCCCTCGGTGCGCCCCTCAGGGGGAGGGGACCCCCCTCAGCCAACCTGCCCGACCCGCCTCAGCCGCCCTCCTCGGGGCAGAGCGGGGGGGCTGCCCCCTTCCTTGGGGGGACGATGCCGCCGCTGCACCGCCACCCGCCGGCGCCCCGAGGCGGGAAAAGCCCCCAAGGCGGGAAGAATCCCTCCGCCCCGGCCGCAGCACCTCGCTGGTGAGGTCTGGCGCCTCCTCTCAAGACAGACGTGTCCCTCCGCCCGAAAGGAAAAAGGGCGGTGGGTTCTCCTCGCCCCCGGGCTCCCAAGGAGAAAGGCGAGTCAAGATTTATGTGCCAAAGGCTTCAGCTCGAGGCGCATGGCCGCCAAGATGCTGTAGAAACTGCAGTTTGGTTGGAAAATCCTCTCTTTGGTGCCTGAGCAATGAGGGTCACCGGCTAGAGCCAAGCAATTCATTCTGCAGGCTAAATGTATTTTTCTAAATTGCCTAAATCCAAAAGCATGAGATCCTCCATGTGCAAATGCTCATGTCCACGGCCCTTTTCCATGTTCCTCCTCTGCTTAACACATATCAGAACAGACACCGCTTCCCTCCCTTTTCTTTTTTTTTTTTTTTTTTTTTTCACAGTAGCAACCGTTGATTCAGCCAAGGACTTTATTCCAAAAATAACAAGTATTCATACAGCTTCGCACTTTTGAAATAGGTGTTTCCTCTTCAACCACTGAAATTTCATTTCCTAAAGGTTATTTTTTTAAAGTTTCCGCTAAGCCAGCGTGTTGCTTTAATACCTCTAAGGATGGGCGATAAAAATAGAAGCATCCTTAGGGCCTGTGCTGCAAATATATATATATATATATTTTTTTAAGGTTTATCATCCATACTACAGTGAACAAATCCACTGAAGCCAAACAGATCCACTGTTGCTGGTAGCAAACATTACATGCAGAAATTGCATATAACTGAGCCTTAAAATACCTTTCTCTTCACTATTTCTGCTTTTGTAAATAAATCTGGCTAATAACTGCTTTCTAATGCTGAAGAAATATTATTAATTGAATCAATTTTAGTTAACAAGATATGGTTCCTGTCTACTTTTAAGCAACAAATAGTCTGACTGAAATCAATTAGATTACATTCACATTTTAAAATATTTAAAATTCCATATGGAATGAAGGTCATAATATAAACCAGAAATAGGATTTTAAGGCATCTAAGAGAAATTCACCATGGTGCTTATGTTTGCTACTCCCCTGCGTTGGAAAAGCATCTAGGAAGCATTCCTGGAAAATAAATTACTGTATTTTTCTGAAATGGAACTGCTATAGTGTTCACGACTGTTCCTAATGTCTTTTGAATAAGATATTCCCCCACTTGCCTGTTGGTGCGAAGTCCCTTAGTATGTGTGGTAGCTTGCAAGTGAACAGGAGTCAGTTTAAAATTACTCATGTCTTTGAACAGTGAAAACAACCAGAACTACAGGAAAAATAAAGAAAACTGCTTTTTCTTGCATTTACACAGCTATAAATCAAGGTTGTTTATTAAACCCTATCCAGTAGTTTCACATCTGTGGCTTGCTTTGTTGTATATAGCTTATATACCCAGCACAAGCTGACAGTCTTCCACTGGAGCATATCCTGCATGCTCTGCACTTTTCAATTTGCAACTCCTGAAAAAAAAATAATATTCATACCACTTGTTTACTGATATTACAAATTGAATATAGCATATTTCTACTAATGGAGTGGAAAAAAGACATAATTGCTTTCCCCGCTACTCGGTTCAATAATATTTTAATGGGATGTAAACACCACATTTTTGTTGTAGAATTTTGATAATTTCAAACTTTCACTTTCTGTCAATTGCTTACATCTCCATCACACATATCAGGTGTGTAACTATCATTATATTATGTTTGCAAGTTGACAAAGTGGGTTGTAGACCAGCTTCGTGATGAAGTCAGCAAAGAAGTTTTGGGTTCTGATGCAGCAGCCAAATGTCAGAAATATTCCTTCACTTCAAACTTTTATTTAAAACTCTTACAAAAGGTTTTGTAACTCTCACTCTCTTTTTTTTTTCGTTTTTGTTGTTGAAAACTAGAAAAGAAAAAAAAAAACATTGCAAAATATTAAAAAAGAAAGGCCAGGAATAAATGTTAGGAAATTAAGTTAAATATGAACAGAGACAGCATCAAAAATAATTATGCTCCTCTCTGTGATCAGTAAGACACTAAAATTTGACACTCTTGATTTGTCAAGTGAAACAGTACAATTTGGCTCAAGTCCTTTATCTCAATTTAGCTGTGCTAGCTGAATGATTGCAGCCTTGTCCTTACAATTCGGTGTAAGTAAACTGCATTTTTAGAACGTGAAATTTCAAGACCAAAGGACTGTTGTAATCCGTCATGTCTATCATGAACTGTAATGCCAAAAATTTCCACTCTGAAAGTAGCTCACCTTGTAACACTGATTCATCAAAGGTCATAATTAAGATTCCAAAGGCAATTTACTGTTTTACTAGGAAAAGGGTCATTTTGATATGAACAGGATATTGGTCATTAACATTCTTAAAACTGTATTTTGACTCTTTTGTCAAGTTACTGTCACATGTCATACAATGACTTCGTCATTAAAAGTATTCATTAAAAAAGTTTGTGTGTGAAAATACTTTCCATACTTTCTCTCACAACGGCTGTATCTGCAGCCCTAACTCACATACTTCCTATCAATCCATGTCATTTTGAAATAGTTTATATAAAAACTTCAGTCCTTCTCTCTGTTCTACAGTAATCCACATTGTCCCCAATAACCAGTACTGCTCAGCTTCTTTAGTCTTTGGTGTAATAGATAGATCTTCAACTTTACCCAATGTACCTTAAATCATAAGGAAGCTAATGCCTCTCTGTATGCATTGCATGTATTGATTCCATATTCACAGCAGAGTGTCCATACTAACAAAAAAAAGCATCCCGCAGGAGGTACACTATGTTACTGTCAGATTCCAGGTGTATGCAAGCAACAGTCCTAGACCACTTCAGCAATATGTTAGTCCTTCAAAGCTGGACCTAGAATAAAACTGTCCTGAAAATCACAGACTCCCTGAAAAGGTGTTTAGTAAATGTTTATTATTTTTATATTTTCTCCCCTTTTTGTAGTGCATTTTTTGCTTTCCTTTTTGTTTCTGCTGTTATAAATGGCGACAACTCTTTCATGACCAACACAAAGTAGCCCTCATAAAAGAAGGAAGCCGTTCCAAAAACCAAATTGCTTTCTCTCATAGCCTCACACACAGTTAAATTGAAAGAAAAATACTGCTGTAAAACAAGGGAAACAAAGTGGGTGAAGATTCGCAGGGAGAGATCCAGAAGGCATTGTAGCTAAAGCTAATAATAGGGAAGTGCAGCACAAAGGCCCCTCTCCAGCCCTTGGAGAAGGGAGCGTATCCGACACGGACCGTCTTCTCCCTGCACCGGTCTGTCACTGCTGCCACCACAACCATTTTCCATTCTTTGAAGACGGTTTGGTGCTCTGATTTCCGCTGGTAATAGACTCTTCCATTACTTTCAAAGGGATTTCTTTTACATCTTGAGTGATATGAAAAGAACATGCTTAAAAGGCGTTTAGGAACTTAAGCCAGGCCTGTTTAACAGTAGGGTGAATCATACCCCTCTCTGACCCCTTCATTTTGTGCGCTGAAATGAAGCCACTGGTTGA